AGTACTAGACTTTTATATGTTCTCATTATGATGATGCTGTTAGCACCCCATGCTCGATTGGAAATGGCCCTGATTACATTTAATCTTGATTTGGTCTTAGTTTTTAAAAATTTTATGTGTTTGGACCAGTTTAGTTGATTGTTTAGGTTTAAGCCTAACATTTTTAAGTCATTTGTGGGCGGAATTAGAATATTGTTCATGTAAATATGAGGTGGATTATTAGTCGTTTGGAGTGTGACATTCCAAATCCGAAAAGGGAGTCTAGGATTTGAATTTAAAAATGTTCAAGTTAAGGTTTACTTGTCTGGTTGTGGTTCATAGTGTATGGTATATCATCATTGAGGGTATTTTAGAGTATAATATATTGTATGGTTATGTTCATGTCATCAAATTCATATTGGTACTGATTGTGGTCACGATTCGCGGTATAAAGTTTTGAGCAGTTCAATATTATGTTTTCATGAAGATATATTTCCCGATTTAGTTCTACCTTAAAAACCCACTGGAAGGCTTATCTCTATATATTTGTTTTAATTTTTAATTTCATTATTATCTGTCACTTCCTCCGTTTTTTTTTTGTTTTTTTTTTTTTGCAACAGATTGAATAAAATATTGTAAAAATACAATTTTCCTAAATATGTACTCAATCTTGAATCTATAGTACAAACTACCCGTTTACCGCAGAAAGCATTGATGCTTGCAAATTGTAAAACTGGTTAATGGTTATATTAATATTGTGTTTTCGGCGGAAACTTTAATCATACCTATCAAATATTAATTATTGTTTTTAGTAAACTATAACTCGACTATAATAGTCTTTGTGAACCCATCATAGATAATAGATAATAATAGAATTATTAATACAATATTGTGGTACAAGACTAAAGACCAACTTACTTATACCGGAGCGTATAAAAGAAAGAGATAAATGAACAAACTTATTACATCCAATACACATTAAGAAAAATCATTTATTTCGTACGGTTAACGGAACGACATATTTAATTTATAATAATTAAAAATTTATAGTTTATATTTAAATGAAGGTACCTTAAATCGTTAGGACGTCGACAGTCACACGGTACCATCTACGGTCGCGACTAAATTAATTGGTTCGTAGGACTACAATTTATACTACATCGATTGTCCGAACCGCACTTATCAAGATAATAATAATAAAATTAATAATAATATCGCATGTAATAATAATAATATCTATAATACTAAATTAAATCACCACAAAATAAATAAATTTATATCATGGACTTTTGTAGTGGCACGCCCAGTCAGGCTTTAGGATTGAATCCCCCTCCTCATTTTTTTTAATATTATATTATACAGACATTGTCATAGTATTTTGGTTTTGATTTTTTTTTTTTTAATAAAATTTTTTGTTCTCTCTCTGTCAATCGAAATAGGTTCTTGGCATTTGGTTGGTAACCGCAATAATTGATTTTTTTCCTGTGAAATTTTTTTAAATATATATATACTAGTGGTTAGGTCGATTGGTCGGAGACCATCGCCTTTAATCGAAATTGTCGATAAAAATAACTATTGATACTGACGACTGTCAATGTCACGAAAGTAAATATTAGTGATAATTGTATATTTCAGTATTTGTGTGTATAAGGAGAAGCATAGGAATATCTATTAGTCCCACCCACTCCCACCCAATAAAATTCCTAAATGTGTACTTGGACCGTAGTGATAGATAAATAATATGGTCGTGTACTAGTGTGGTCACTGATAAGTAAGATTTTAGCACTTACTGTGTGCCGGTCGGACGGATATAATTCGATTTTAGCGCCAATATTTGTTCGATATTTTTGTATCTTACAATATAATCATTATTCAAAAGTAAATTCGAGACGATAATTTTTATTTTAATATCTATGATCTTTTTTAATATTTGCGTCGTTATGTCGAAGGGACATTGCTGCAGTGTGGTATAGTGACAAAAAACAACTTTGTAAAGTACTCCGCTCCCCGTAGGGCGTAGAG